AGGAGGAGGCGGGACTGGACCCCCCCCCCCCCTTCCCCTCACAGGTCGTCCTCTAGCCGCACCGCCGTTGGGCCGGTCGGCTCGTCGTCGTCGCCGCTCTGCTGCTGCTGCTCGGCGGCCTGGTGAAGAAGCGTCTCGTACTCAGAAACCAGAGCTGTCGTGATCATCACAGGCCTGCGGCTCGCCGCAGTAGCCCGCGAGATTGCAATCTCGACTCAGTCTCGACTCGATCTCAACCACAGATCTCGACTCGATCTCAAGTATAGATCTCGACTCGATCTCAAGTATAGAACTCGCCCTCAAGTAAATCTCGACTCGGCTAGATCTCGACTAGATCTCGACTCGGCCTCAACTAGATCTCTAGATCTCGACTCGATCTCGGCTCGATCTCGCCTCCTCCACCCTCGCGCGGCACGACCCATACGGCGGCCGCCGCTCCATCACCGGCGAAAGAGCGAACCTACGGCCCCCAATCTCATCCCCTGTCAGCAGAGCGGCCGCCGCCCCATCCACCGACCGACAGACAGAGCGGCGCCTCGGCGCGACTCGGCCTACCGAAAAGAAGAGCCAGGCGCCGGCCAACGGAGACGTCGCGTCCGCGCCAGCGAAGAGGGCCGCGGGGGAGGCGGCGGCGGGGGAGGCGGCCGGCGCCAGCCCGAACCGGAGCAGCGCGTCGGCGTTCAACGCCGCGTGCCTCCGCCGCCCTCCCCCTCCCCCGCGCGAGCGCCGCCGCCGCCGCCGGGAATCGGGGGGGTGCTGCCTCGGTGCATGAGGGATGGGGGGCTCCCTGGAGCGCGAGGGGTGGGAGGGGCTCGTGCCTCTCGCACACGGGGGCGCGCCGGGGTGCGGTGGGAGAGTGGCGGCACCCGATCGGCGGATCTAGACGACCCGCATCCAACTGGGCCTGGCGAGGGGCGCGGTGCTGGGTGCGGCGACGGGAGAGGGCCTCGAGCGCCGCGTGTGCGCGGCGGAGTCGGCATAGTACAGACTGACTGAGGCCGACCGACGGGGCCGTTGAAGGGGAGGGTAGGCATGTTGTGCTCGAGATCGTCCAGCCGCACTTGCGCTCTATGTGGCCAATGGAGAGGCGTGAGAGACTAAAAATCTAAGGCTCTATGTATGTATGCATCCGAGTGAAGAACAGTCAGGCTCTACCCCTTACCGTCCTTACTGTTAAGGTAAGGTAAACGTCTCCACGCGCACAACACAAAAAAGCGGTGGGGCAAGGGGGGGCGACCCTCGCATCTCCACGCCCGGGACGGACACGGGCAGGGGAGCCCCACGGCATTCAAAGTGCAAGCACCGGGACTAAAACTACACTCTGAAAGTGTACTCTCTACTTAGAGCTAGCCACCCCGCAGGCACTCCTCGTCTCGCCTGCCACATCGTCCCGTGTCTTCACATATCCGATATCGTCCACCGTCGCGGCTACGTCGCCTTGCTGAAGACACCGCTCGTGTCACTGATGACAGACGTCAGACTCTCTTCAATACAGAAAAAGCTCGTTGGACGCCAGAGACACGGTTCTGTTGGCGGCGCGAATTGGCAAGTCGCGGCGGGGCTCCCGAGGCGAGGTGGCACCTGTGGGTGTGCGTGTGGCGTCTGGGCGGCATCCCCCCCGTCCCCCCCCCCGCGCGCCTCGCCACGCATGCGCCGCGTCTTACCGCGCCTCGCCGTGCTTCCTCACTGCCCCTCGAACTCTGGGTTCTTTTTGAGGATGACCACGCCCTCGAGCACCGAGGTGAGCGGCAGGTACTCGTCCGTCGCGAGCTCGGCACGCTCGCCGATGGCCAGCAGCACGGGCGTGGTGTGCGTCTGGAAGCCCGTGATCGTCTTCGGCCTAAGCAAGGAGTCGAGCCGCCGTAAGAGAGGAGCCGCGGGGCCGGCCCGCCTGGTCTGCTTTAGCCGAGCACCGCCCCGCGAGCCCGACGACGTCGACGGCCGTCCCCACGCGGACGGTGACGGGCAGCGGGTTGAGGTCCGCGTCCACCTGCGGCGGGCGGCGGGCGGAGCTTAGCAGGGAGGGGACAGGGCCGCACGCCTGCCAAAGGGCGCCGAAGCGACGGCGGCGGCAATGGCGGCGGCAATGGCGGCGGCAACGGCGGCGGCAACGGTGGCGGCAACGGCGGCAGGCGGCGGCGGCGGGGGGCGGGGGGGGGGGAGCAAGTGGCGGCGGCGGGAGGGAGGGGTTGGGGGCGCGGCGGGGCGGCGGGGCGGCGCGCCGTGACAAGCATGCGCGGGCGCATCGCGCCGACGAGGAGGTAGAGCAGGAAGTGGTGCTTCCCGAGGATGAGGCCCTTGAAGTCGAGCGAGACGTGGCACAGCGCGATGAGCGAGGCGAGGGCGGGGAAGTGCGGCAGCGAGCGGTCCGGGTGGTAGGGCGAGAGAGTGACGAGGCCCTTGCCCGCGTGGACGAGTCCCTGTGCGATGCGCACCGCAAAGAGCATCCCCGGCTCCTTGCCGTAGTAGGTTGCGAGCGAGCGCAGCTGGCCCGCCACCTTCGAGTTGTTGGTCCCTCCCGCGCAGAGCCCCATGGCGAGGATGGCGTTGGTCGCCGTCTCGGGGTCCGGGTCGTGCGTCATCTTGGAGAGGGTGTCGACCACGGACGTGCCGTTGACGTTCTGCGGCTTGGAGGTCGACAGCACCGCTAGCCCGAGCGGCACCGCGCGCCGCACGGGCGGGTCGCCGTACTGGAAGATGTGGTTGAAGTTGCGGATGGTCATCTCGGCGCCGAGCTCCTCGCCGGAGGCGACCAGCGCCACGCCGAGCGTCGCGACCGCCTGCACGTCCAGCTTAGGCCACTCCTTCTCCTTCTCCTTGCCGCCGCTCGAGCTGCCCGCCGCGCCGCTCGCCGCGCCGCCGCCCGCCGCCGCGCGCGCCCCCGCTGCCCCCACCGCTGCCCCCGCGGCGCCCGCCGCCGCCCCCGCCGGCGCCGGCGCCGGCGCGGCCTCCTCCTCCTCCTCCTCCTTGTTGTTGTGCTCTCCCGCGAGCCCGAGCAGCCGCTGCACCTTGAGCACGTTCCCGGTGCCCGCGTAGGCGCACGTCTCGAGCCTGCCGGCCACGAGGACACCTCATCTCTCCCCACATCTCCCCGCATCTCCCCACACCTCCCCATGCCTCGCCTGCCGGCCACGAGACACCCAAGGAGCGTGCGTGCGCGGGGGACGAGCCCCCGCCTCCGTGTGTCTCGAGGGCTAGGAGACGGGTCCAGGAGACGGGTCCAGGAGACGGGTCCATGAGACGGGTCCATGCTGCGGCATCTAGGGCCTCGCGCGTGATTGCGCAGTAGGCGCCCGCCTCGCCGGGCACCGCCTTGGCCAGCTCGAGGGCGAGATCGGCCTCGCCCTGCCGCCCGATGTAGAGCAGCCCGACGCCGAGGCAGAGGAGGCGGGTGAGCGACTCCGTCTCGAGCGACGCCTGCAGGGGCGCAGAGAGAGAGAGGCGCCTCCTCGAGGCACGGCGCGGGTGAGGTGGGTGTCGCGGGCGAGGGGCTCGCAGCGCCTCCTCGCGCTCCATCAGCGCCGCGATGATTGTCTGCGTGATGTCCTACAGGGCCAACGATCGCGGCTGCCCTCGGCTGATCTCGTGCAATCTCGCGAGGGGACCGCCGCGAGGCGTCCTCGTGGCACGAGCCGGCGAACGTCAGGCCGAGCGAGAGCGACGCCATCGCGACAACCTCGAGGGGCGTGTCCAAGTCGGCGACGACCGGCACGAGCTGCTCAAGCACCTCCGCCTTGCGCGTGCCTGTGGGGAAAGGAGCGCCGTCAGGCGAGGGGCGTGCCGCGCCGTCTGCTGCCCCGCGCGGTGCCGAGGTAGGCGAGGCCGAGGCCCAGCAGCGCCCCCATCTTGAGCTGCGGCGTCTCCGCGCCCGGCTCGACGTAGTCGTTGAGGAGCGCGAGCGCCTGCAGGACAACTCGCTTGACGAGTGGAGCGTCTGCGCCCGGTCGGGAGTGGCGCGGTCGTCTCCGGAAGGCGCGGTCGCCGGGTCGCACTCGTTCCGCACGCCGCAGTTGAGGATGCCGACGGCAAGCAGCGCGCCCGCCTATACCGGACGCGTCCCGGACACATGTCGTGGGCGGGTCCTGGGCGGCGGCGGCGAGCAGCGTGCGCCCGCCTTGATGTTGGTATCGCTCATGTAGAGAAACTTGTCGATCTGCGTGAGCCCGCCGTCGACGTCCCAGCAGAGGAGCGCGCCTAGGGTTCGGGTACCCGAGGGGGTAGGGATAGGATTTGGGTACTGGGGGGGGTAGGGAGAGGAGCCGCCTAGAGGCCGAGGAGGTGGCCGCCCAGTCAAGAGGAGAGGGACGGGCACGTCGCCATGGCGCGCTGTCGCGGAGCCGCCGCGCGCCGAGGGAGGCGGCGGGAGATGTGGGGAGATGTGGGGGAGATGTGGGGAGATGGCGTAGCGCGCCGAGGGAGGCGGCGGCGGAGGTCATGCCATGCTCCTTGTTCTTGTAGAGCCACTTGTTGCCCTCGGGCAGCATCAGCTTGTCCGCGCCGAAGCCGAGGTTGACAAACGCGTTGACGAAGGTGGACGCGAGGTTGGCGCGCGCAGAGTCGACGGCGGCGGCCGAGGCGGGCCGCTTCTCGAGGTGCGACTTGTAGATGTCGTCCGGTGTCTTTGGCTCGAGGACGTCCAGGTCGCGAGCGAGCTCGTGGAAGTGCTCCGGCAAGTGCGCCTAGGACAACGCGCCCTCGGGCCACGCCGTGACTCGCGTGTTCCTTTGACGGCGGAGTGGTGAGGTGCTCCGCCGCCACGCGCCCCGTCCATCACCCGGTCGAGCTCCTCCGCCAGCCCGTCGATCTCGGGCCTAATCTCGTGCAGAATACGCCGACCTCGTGCCGGGACTGCGGTGGTCGTGCGGCGCGCCCAGAGCACCGCGTGAGGCGCGAGGGGCTACGAGTACAGTGAGTACAGCGGGATGCGGCCGAGTACGGCGGAGTACGTGTCACTCTCGAGGGCTAGTTGGCTCGGGCTGCCAGTCAGCGGTGCTGGTGGCAGAAGCGCTGCTTGGCACAAAGCAACCCGCGCAAGCGAGCAAACTTCGTACCGCTAGTGCGCAAGAGTGCGTCTTCTGGCTTCTATGAGCTTCTAGGGTCCCCGACCGCACGCCCTGCCGCGCGAGCATGTAGGCCATCTGCTTGGAGACGAGGGGGTCGTCGCACGCCGTCATGATCTCGGAGATGGCGTCGTCATCCCGAAGCCGCAGGGCGAGCCGCATCGCCTCCGGGAAGCGGCGCAGCTTGCGCAGGATGGCGATGGCCACCTGCAGCACCTGCGCGGCGGGGGAGGTGGCGATGGGGGAGGGGAGGGCGAGACAGACGGTGGGGGGGAGGGCGAGGCGGAGGGTGGGGGCGAGGGCGGGGGCGAAGGCGGCAGCGGCGGGGGCGGGGGCGCGCAACGACACTGTTGGGAGGGGCACTACTGGGACACTGCCTGCGCGTCCTCGGGCTCGGCCACGTAGGAGGAGACCTGTTCACAGCAGAGGTGTGAAGAGGCGCTGTTCACACCTCGGCCACGTAGGAGGCGACCTGGACGAGAGGTGGGGAGAGATGTGGGGAGAGATGGGGAGAGATGGGGAGAGGTGGGGAGAGGTGGGGAGAGATGTGGGGAGAGGTGGGGAGAGGTGGGGAGAGATGGGGAGAGGTGGGGAGAGGTGGGGAGAGATGGGGAGAGATGGGGAGAGGTGGGGAGAGATGGGGAGAGATGGGGAGAGGTGGGGAGAGATGGGGAGAGATGGGGAGAGGTGGGCTTCCGGCCACGTAGGAGGAAGCCTGCACGAGGTAGAGGACGACCCGCTCCTGGTTGGCCTCGTCGACGTGCGGGGGTAGGGCGTCGAGCTGCGGGAGGGAGGAGGAGGAGGAGGGGGGGGGGGGGGTCCGAAAGTGGTTCGGGGGGGGGGGGTTCCAAAAAATGGTTCCGGGGGGGGGGGGGGTTCCCAAAGAGGAAAAACCCCCGCCCGGCCTTGTCTTGGGGGAATGGCCCGGTCCCCGTTAAACCCGCCCCCCGGGTCCCCCCCCCCCCCCCAAAACGTCTTGAACGTTTTTTTGAGGTTTTTGGGGGGAGTGTCTACGGGAGGTGTCGGGGAGGTGTCGGGGAGGTGTCGGGGAGGTGTTGGGGAGGTGTGTGGCGACCCGCCTGCCCACACTCCATCAGTAGGTCGATCGCCTCCGACTCTGCGTTTGACGCGATGAAGAAGGGGACCATCTCGCCCGTCACGAGGGGCAGCAGCTCCTCCGCCGGGAGGAGAGGAGCCGCACCCTCCGCCTCCGCCGTCTCCATCTCCGCCGCCTCGCCCCCCTCCTCCTTGGCCGCCTCCGTCTCGCGCGCGCGGTCCGCGGCGGCGTCTGCGGCGGCGAGGCGCGCGTTGTACTCCTCGCCGACTTCGGCGGCGAGGTGGCGGACGTACTCGTGCCCCCACGCGCCAACCTTGCCGCCCGCCCCGATGAGCTTGTAGCGCAGCGACTCGCGCGCGCCGTCGTCCTGCGGGGCAGGGTGTTGTCGGACACGGCTTGTGGGGAGGAAGAGAGCCGGGCTCCGACGGCGTTGCGGGCTCCGCTGGGCCTTGCCCAACTTGGTAGGTGCGGGGAGCGGGGTGATTCGGGCGGCGCTGCTTTGAGTGGGGTGCGCGCGAGGCCGCGCGGCGTGTGGTACGCCGTGCGTGGTGAGGGAGTGGGGCGGCCAGCTGCGCCGGGGAAGGGCGGTGATGCTGAGACCGCCCGCTGGGGAGGCGCTTGCGACGGGGCGGCTGGGGCGCGCCTCGGCATAGGTCATCGCGAGCACCGAGAGCACGTCGGCGAGCATCTTTTGGACCTGCGGCGAGGGGGGCGGGCCGTCGGGCGGGCGGCGGACGCACGCGCACGGCGCGCGGCGCCGGCGGCTGCCCACCTCCTCGTCACCGCCGCCGGTGTGGATCTGCTTGAGGGTCGGGTAGTGCGGCCGGAGAAACTTGAGCGGCTTGGGAACGGAGGTCATCGACGAGGTGGCCTCGCGGATCTCGCGCGACATCTCCGTCAGCGCGTTGACCCGGATCCCCTTCTCCACGTCCGAGCACCGCGTCACGAGCAGCTGCATCTTCTCAATCAGCGCTGCGTCCTCCTCCGACACCTCCTCCTCCTCCTTCTTCTTCTTCTTCTTGTCGGCAGCCTTGTCCGCGGCCGCGGCGGGGGCCTTGGGGTCCTCTTTGGGCGCCATGGCGGGCCGCTTTGGCGAGAGCTGAGAGCGTCGGCCCGCCCTGGTGACTGGAGCCAAGCTCCAGAAAAAGAATTGTACCCAAAGCCATCTCACAGCAGACTGGCACGAACAAGCACCACAAAAGGCACAGCAGACAACGGCCCCTTATAGGTTGAGAGGCCGGGTTTTAAAAAGAACCGAAGAAAGAATTTTCCGAGACTCCCAAATAATTTGCGCTCCTTCAAGTGCTCCAAGGTAACAAATAGAGTTGTTTGGTATCCGCCCCCGCCGTAGCGATGACGATGAGGAAATAGCACCCGACGCGAGTCGGGCCTACACTCGCTTGGGTGGCAAGCACGCCACAGTTGCACTCACCGTTGCCACTGTCGACTTAAACGATAGCAGCTGCCGACCTGATTGCTGCTTCGTCGTGACCCAAATTTTAACTGAGCGAGTTGAAGATCCTGCCCATACGGACTGCTGCTTCGACGTCGAAGAGCATTACTCCGACCGTGTCGTCAATCGACCATTGTTGCCCCATCGACGACATCGGCCGAAATCATGCGTCGCGCAAGGCAATTGAAAGATCGACCACGAGTGGATCGATCAACCTGCCCATCTGGCGTGCGCCCAGAGCTGGTCTGGTAGCAGCCAGTGGATCTCTCTGAGTCTGAATCCGAGCGTGAGACTAGTCAAGCATCTACTCAAAGTCCCTACACAGAAAGAGGCGAGTGAGGGACGCTCTCGGCGGATCTCTGGACAGCCTCGGCCGATCTCGGCCCACCTCGGCCAATCTCGGCCAATCTCGGCCAATCTCGGCCAATCTCGGCCAACCTCGGCCGACCTCGGCCGATCTCGGCCAACCTCGGCCTATCTCGGCCAGCCTTGGCCATCCTCGTCCACCCTTGGCCCACGCGCCAACCACCTCGGCCCACGCGCCCAACAACCATGGCCCACGCGCCAATCTCCCATCAGTGGTCGATGGCGGGCCCATCGAGTGCCCTCCCGCCATCGCCTCCGGCAACGCCCCAGTCGAGTCCGGTGTCATCAGTGACAGGTCCATTCGACCGAACCGAACCCGCCCGACATCCTCGGCGGCCGTCTCTCAGGCCCTACGCCACGCGGGCCGAAGGGTCAGAGATTGACCGTGGAGCGCGCCGCACTCGCCTGTTGCCCCACACGAACACCACGATCCCCATCTAGGACGGGTAGTCGTGCGGGGCGCTCCCAGTCACACCGACTTACTCGGGAGCGTGTTGACGGCGCCACATACCTCCATAACTACTCGGAGGGCGGCATGTCGTGGCCCGTCCCCCGCCCTTGAGGGCGTCGAGACGGGGCCGACCGCGTCTGCCGTAATGAACGGCGGCGAGTGAGGTCGACCCTCGCCCATACCTCCTGCTGTGTACAGAGAGACCACGCGCCAAGCCAGCGCACATGCTAAGCGCACTGCGTTGTCTGTTTATGAGCTCTCTAGAGCATGGTCGTTCCTAAAGGCGCAGCTAGGCGCAGCCGACACATGGGATTGAGGCAGCGCGACGCGTGCTCTCCCGCCCAAAATGCGGTGAAGCGGGACAGCAGGCACTCGGGCTTGAGGCAGCCACTCGCATCTCGACCTTGGCACTGCTCGAGCAAAGTCGCATCGAGCTGCTCGTCGGATGTGAAGCCCAGCGGCTCGAATGGTAGCGGCTCCCCCGCCCGCGACGCATTCTCGTCGCGCCAGCGCTGGAGCGACCACGCTAACCAGGTGTGCCCAAGGCGTCGCCGCATCGTATGGGCGAGATCCTTTGACTCGCCGCACCGCATTGCCCACTCGTGACAGAAGGTCTCGAAGCCGGTGTGAGATTGCACCATCTGTGCCGACAACCTGTCGAGCAGCGAATTCTCGAACACGGTGCTCTGGGAAAGCTGGATCCAGCGGCGTGAGGATGCAGTCGCCCCTGGGTAGGGCACCTGCTTGCCAGGTGGGATGCGCGTGCCGCCCTCAGCGTACGACATGCTGTGCCACGCGGAGCACCGAGGGCAGGAGAGGCCATTGAGCTCGCCCTTCAGTCGCCCGTGCTCCGCATAGACCGTTGGAGATGAGCATTTGTCAGCCCGCTTGACCACCAGGGGTACCGCCTCCCCAGCGAGGCCACACGCCACGCAGTGCTCCACGTCCGGCACGAGCCGAACGGTCTTGCGGCTCGGGTCGTCGCGAAGCTGGGAGGCAAGCCGATCGACAATGGGCAGCTTGCTTAGCAGATACCGCACCGCAGGAGCGGAGAGGCCTGCCGGCATCTCCCCAGCAATACGCTCAGCGCGTAAGGGCGTCCCAGGTGGGTAGAGGTTGAGCGCAACCACGAAGCTGATGAAATCCTCCGCCGAGTTGATTGGGTGGAGCTCCTGCGCGAAGGCACTTGCGCCATCCTTGATGTGTTCGAGCTCGTTGAGACCGAGATCGTCGAGCCAGCTCGCCATCGGGGACCGAAAAAGCAGATCCCAGATAACATATCCCGTCACGGCGCAATGTTCTTTCTCTCTGTGATTTCGTGCTCGATACCCCCGGGTTCGGACGGGGGTACACCTGTTCATTGGCCGGAATGAGCTCATTAGGACGAAGCGGGAGATGTCTTCACACCGCAGAAACCAGACCCACAGGCAGATCCCACGGGAAATCGAGGCGGGTGTCCCAGAAAACAGATCCCAGAAAAAACAGAGCGCGCGGCAGAAACCGACCGACCCCTGGGTTTTCGGCTATGGGAAACCGCGATGGGAAACCGCAGCAGAAACCCTATGGGAAACCGAGGTCTGGTGTCTGCTTTATCCAGGAATGGTCACAACTGCCGGCGCGAGGTCTACGCGGCGCTCAAAAAAACAACAAACCCATGGAGGCGATGATTGTCACCAACAAGCAACAATTTGACCACTCTGACTAGCAGAGAGCAGTGCCTGACAAGCATCGAAGCGTGTCTCAGGAGGTCAGGAGTCGGGTGACGGGTGTGCGAACGGTTTCTTGCCACTGTCGGATCATCCGGCGGTGTGTGTGATTTGGGATGAGCCGAGTGAATTCGAGCTCCTCGCCCGTAAGTGGGCTTGTCGACTTGGTCGCGAGCCAGCGCTCGATCGCCGAGCGCTCGTATGAGTGCCCATCCGCCGCCATCACCGGGTCGACCATCACCTCGGTTGTGATCGGGCAGATGAAGTCGGCCGGCGGCTCCTCCTCCTCCACCGAAGGCGGCCTCTCTGCAGCCAAAGAGGACGACGCTTGCTCGTCGGGCGCCCGCCTCTCCTCCTCCAGCCTCGTGCTCTCCTCTAGCGCCGCCGCCAACTGCGCCTCCTCTCCCGCCGCCAGCGCTGCCTCATCGGGCTCCCGCGAAGGCCCAGCGCCGCCCGCGCCGCCCTTCCCCTTCTTCTTCTTCTTCTTCCCCTTCTTGCTCTCCTTGACGCGCTCCCCCGCCTCCTCCTTCTCCGCCTCCTCCTCCGCCAGCAGCGCCTCGGCATTCCGCGACGCCTCCGCCTCTGCCGCCGCTCTCTCCACCTCCCTCGCCTCCGCCGCCTCCGCCACCGCCGCCGCCGCATGCTCCTTGATGACGCGCACGCACTCGGCGTGGCCCTTCTCCTTGGCGTACTGAAGCGCCGTCTTGCCGCTCGCGCTGCGCGCCGTCGCATCTGCGCCAGCCCGCAGCAAGCGCCGCACGACGGCGGAGCGGTTGAAGACGGCGGCGATCATCAGCGCGGTGCTGCCGATGCTGTTCTGCGAGTTGATCTCCGCCCCGTGCCGCAGCAGCAACTCGACCACCCGCTCGCGGCCTTCCTGGGCGGCGAACATCAGCAGCGTCATGCCACTCACGCCGCATCTCTCGCACGTCGCGTCGGCCCGCCCGCCGCTGTCAAGCCACGCCAGCACCGCCTCCTCCTCGCCTCGCCCAGCCGCTGCCACGACCTCGTCGGAGACTGCCACGACACCGCTCGTCGCCCGCCCCGCCGCCACCGCCGGAGACAGCGTCTTCGCGACTCTCGAAGCAGCCGAGGAGGAAGCGCCGCCGGAGGAAGCGCCGCCTGCGCCTTCGCCGCCGGCTGCCGTCGCCGTGGGCCGTCTCGCCAACACCTCCTGGACGTGCTTCTTGAAGGCCTCGACGCACTCGGCGTGGCCCTCCCTCTTGGCCAGCTGCAGCGCCGTCTTGCCACTAATGCGCGCCGCCGTGTCAGCGCCCGCCCGCAACAAACGCCGCACGACGGCGGGGCGGTTCAAGAGGGCAGCGGCCATCAGCGCGGTGAAGCCGCCGCTGTTCTGCAGGTTGATCCCCGCGCTGTGCCGAATCAGCAGCTCGACCACCCGCTCGTGGCCTTGGTCGGCGGCGAGCAGCAGCGCGGTGCTGCCGATGCTGTTCTGCAGGTTGATCTCCGCGCCGCGCTGCAGCAGCAAGTCGACCACCCGCTCGTGGCCGCGGTGGGCGGCGGCTATCAGCGCGGTGCAGCCGTCGCTCCTCTGCAGGTTGACCTCCGCGCCGTGCCGTATCAGCAAGTCGACCACCCGCTCGTGGCCGAAGACAGCGGCGCTCATCAGCGCGGTGTTGCCGTTGCTGCTCTGCAGGTTGACCTCAGCGCCGTGCCGTATCAGCAAGTTGACCACCCGCTCGTGGCCTTGGCCGGCGGCGGTCATCAGCGCGGTGATGCGGACGCTGCTCTGCAGGTTGACCCCTGCGCCGTGCTGCAGTAGCAACTCGACCACCCGCTCGTGGCCGAGCTCGGCGGCGGACATCAGCAGCGTGATGCCGCTCACCCCACCTCTCTCGTACGTCGCGTCGGCCCGCCCGCCGCCCTTAAGCCACGCCAGCACCGCCTCCTCCTCGCCTCGCTCAGCCGCTGCCACGACCTCGTCGGAGACTGGCACGCCACCCCTCGACACCGCTGGCGAGCAGCAGCAGCAGCAGCAGCAGCAGCAACAGCAGCAGCAGCAGCAACAGCAGCAACAGCAGCAGCTCTGACAGATTGCCCGGCCGCACCCGCACGCTCTCGCCGCCGCCCTCGAGCGCCACAGCGTACCGGCCGCCCTCGAAGCTCCGCGCCACGCCCCGCTGCCCGTTTAGCGCGGGGCGGGAGGAGAGCCCGCCGAGCGCGACGCGCTGCCCGAGCAGCGGCGCTGGCTCGCTGCTTGGCTCCTCCATCCCAAAAGAACGAAGGCGCGCGGCTCCAGCGGGTTCGAGCTTTTCTTTTCTGCTCCCCGCGCTCTAAGGCTCTCTCAAGGCTCTCTCTCTCTCTCTCTCTCTCTCTCTCTCTCTCTCTCTCATGCTCTCTCTCTCTCTCTTTCTCACGACGGCACCTCCTCCTCCCCCTCCGCCTCCTCGCCCCCGCCCCCTCTCTGCACTCTCCAAAAGTCGACCGCCACGTCCTTGCTCGGCTGCCGGTGGTGCTTGTACATTCTGGGGATCTCGAACCGCAGCTCCGCCACCACCGAGGCCTCGCCGCCGGCCTCGGCCGCCTTTTTCGCGATGAACGGGCGGGTGGAGGTCTTGTGCAGCGAGTAGACCGCGCCGCCGGGCCGGCAGAGCCGCAGCCCCGCCTGCAGAAACGCCACGTCCGCGCCGTGCGACTCGTTTCGCGTCCCAAACGGAGGGTTCATCAGCACAATGTCAAACGCGCCGCCCGCAGCCCCAGCGTCGGCGCCTCCTTCGGCGTCAGCGACACCGCTCGGCGCGCCCTCCGGCCCCGACCGCATCGCGAGCTGGACCACGTCGCAGCCCAGCAGCGAGACGGGCACCTCAAACTCCTCCACATTCTCCGCCGCCACCTCGAGCGCTGCCGGGTCGAGGTCGACGGCGAGGACGTGCGCGGCGCCCAGGAGCGCGGCGCCGATGCCGAGAACGCCGCCTCCGCAGCCGAGGTCCGCCACCAGAGCGTCCTCCAGCCCGTCCTCCGCGTCCGCCGCGAGCAGCATGTGCGCCGCAATGTCCGGCGGCGTCGGATACTGCTCGAGCTCCGACTTTGGGTGACGCCACGTCTGCACGCCTTGCAGCTCGCCAACGAGCTGCTTGAGCTTCATCCGCGGTCCGCGGCGGCGTGTAATCTCGAGGTTCTCGAGGTGGATATCCTTTGGCCGCGTTGGGTAGCGAGGATTGGTGTAACCCGAGCCACGGAGGCGTGTAATCTGTGGGGTTTCTTTTTTCGGGTTTGTGTGGTGGGGCGGGCGCGCTGCGGCCGCACGTCTAACTTCGTCATAGTGCCACGACGTGCGGCCTAGATTTAGCCCACGCGCCTCTGCTCGCAAACACTCACCCATTGAATTGTCACTGCCTGTGAGTGCGAGACAGGGCTAGCAGTAGGCAGCTAGCCCGTGAGGAGAGCGTCCATAGACACCTCACTTAGACCCCACACACGGTCTCGTCCGTGCCTCGCCGGCCGGAGAGATTGCTGGAGGTAGAGCAAGCCTGCTCTAGCCTCGCATGTCACTTCCTGTCGTCTGTTGTGTCGTTGTGCCCTTGTTTGTTTCTCGTGGCACCGTGGAGTGCTGGGGGGGGCGACAGGGAGGATATGGCCTTGAGTTATGTGTACGCAAACTCAGGGTGTGTGGCAGCCCGCTGGCTGTGTGTCTTGTGAGCCTGTTTGTGTCTGTGTGTCGCTCGTGCGTGCCGTCATCATCTGTCTAGCGTCCGCCCATGCCGCGTTGGTGTCCAGTCCGAGCCTGGCTGTTCTTCACCTTTCTACCTACCTACCTACCTGTGGTGTGTGTGTGTGTGTGTGTGTGTGTGTGTGTGTGTGTGTGTGTGTGTGTGTGTGTGTGTGTGTGTGTGTGTGTGTGTGTGTGTGTGTGTGTGTGTGTGTGTGTGTGTGTGTGTGTGTGTGTGTGTGTGTGTGTGTGTGTGTGTGTGTGTGTGTGTGTGTGTGTGTGTGTGTGTGTGTGTGTGTGTGTGTGTGTGGTGTGTGTGTGTGTGTGTGTGTGTGTAATTTTGATTTTTCGCTTCTCTCCCCTCCCCCTCTCCCGCCCCCCGCCCCAGGCCCGCTCGCAGTGGACGGACGCATAGAGGACTTAAAAACACACGCTGCGCACACGATAACCCCGCAGCGCAGTGAGTCTACCGGTGCTACGAGCGCGCTGCGAGCATGCTCCGCCTTCTCGCGCGCTACGACACCGTGTTGCAAACCCACCCACTACCCACAAAGATGGCGACGGCGGGCCTCCTCTCCACCTCGACCGATCTGGCCTTGCAGAGTACGGCGGGTGTACTGCCCCTCGAACAGGACCATCACCGCACAGCGCGGCAGGCGGTTTGGAGCGGTGTGATCATGGCGCCAAACTTACACGTTTGGATGAACGTGCTCGCTCGCATTCCCTCCTTGTTTTCCATCCCCGCTCCTCTCCTCCGCCTCGCCGTGGACACCTTCACCTTCATGCCCGCCTCGCACGTCGCCTACGTCGCCTTTCTCTCGACGGCGGCGCACGGCTCGGCTGCGCACATTGAAGCCGACATGCGGGAAAAGCTAGAGCCGCTCCTCCGCGCGGGATACGCCGTCATCCCTCCCGTCATGCTCGTCAACCTGATGGTGGTGCCACTCAGATTCCGCGTGCTCTTCATCAACACTCTGCTGGGCGTGGGATACGGCAGCTACATGAACTACGTCATCAACCGCCGGGCCGCTGCCGCCGTGGAGCCGGAGGCGAAAGAGCGAATCAGGGCGCTGGCGAGAAGGGTCTCGTACGCGTAGCCGGGGCACGCCAGGCGCCAGGCCGCATCGGAACGAGAACGACGCTGTGGGTTCATAAACAAATAAATAAAAAAACGACACATCGACTAGGAGATGGGTAAACAGGAACAGGTCCCCGCCCGTGCGATCTTTGTGCAGGGTTCTTTGTGTGGGGGGTGGTCGGCGGCTAGCGGGTCGCAACTATCTTGCTTTTTTGAGACACTCACCTCCGATCCCTGGGGTCCGATGTCGGACGGTTTTTTCGCGGTATCCCCGCCGGGATGATACGGTGGGATATGGCGACATGGCGGGATATCGGATATGACGCGACGATACGGGGTCAGGTATATGGGTTATGGCGAGCGACCGTGAGAACGCGAGATGCATATCTCAGAGCACTCTCAGGATACCGCAAGAACACACAAAAACGGAAACTCCCCACACTAGAGCTCCTCCGTGACATGCAGGTGCTTTAATTTTCCACACACATCACTCAAATACCCACATAACACCTAAATGCGCGTGCCGGGGCGGACCCTCACAGCCGTCACAGCTCACATAACACCTCTGCGTAGGTATCCGCTAGCTCGACATCTTGATTGCGTCGAGTACCAGCCCGTAGTACAGCCCCGCCTTGAAGGCGTTCGTGAGCTTTAGCAGCGGCGGCCTCTGCTCGGCGGGCCTCGAATAGTACTCGCGAGTGACCCGCTCAGACACGACCAGCGTCACAAACCCTGCGACGGTCTCCCAGTAGCCGCTCTGCCCGAAGACCGTGTCGAGGAAGTGGGCAAAATAGAAGCCGAGAAAAAGGAAGAGTGTGCCCAGCAGCAGCATGCGGCGAGGAGACTCGGCGTACCGGTTGAAGCGCGCAGTGAGTGCGGACCTTCGCAGCAGTGTGGGCACCTCGCTGGCCTCCGCGGCGCGAGTCCCATCGGCTGCCACTCTGCGGAGCTGCGCCTCGATGGCAGCCAGGTAGCGTTCGTCATCGTCGCCCTCCTGCTGCAGCACCAACTGACGGCTGCGGCCCATGCCGGGAGGCACACGCGCCACCACCACCTCGCAGCCACCTGGGCGGAGTGGGTGGTGTGTGTGCGGCGGCCTCGCGTGCGCCGCCGCAACGCGAGCACTCAAGTAGCAGAGTGGGAGATTGACGAGCAGGCTGGCCATGAGATGACGGCTGACGGCGTTCCTTCCCTCTCGAGGCGGCGTGGTAAACACAAACCTCTCCAGCCTGGGTTCCGGCTCCTAGCCAGATAGGGGTCTGCGTGCCATGACTTTGTCGTGTGGTCTGTGTGTCGCTCCTGTGTGACCGTCACCGCCCGTCTTGCGTCCACCCATACCGCGTTGGTGTCCCAGTCGTTGGTCGGACTGTGTGTCGCCTTCCCATAATCCATGACTCGCGCCAAAACGCGTATATGGGCGTACGGGGTAGCCGCCACTTTCCTGCCTCACAAGGGCGGGGAGGCTGTCCCGGAAAGCCAACAATATACCTACGACGGAAAGTGAGAAACGCCGGGCAGCGTGGTGCACGATTTCAACCTCCCATACGTGTTTGATTCGCTCCTTTCCTCGGGCTGGTGCTTCCTTTCTCCTTCCAACTCAGGCGAGGCGGGGGGGGGCGTGGGTGCGGAGTGCGGTGCGGTGTGAGTGTGTGCAAGTAGATCTATCTCGCGCGGCGCCGCGCCAATGACCTTCGACTTCTCCCGCCTCTTTCGCTCGCTGCCTCGCGACGAGCGGGACTGCGAGTGGGACGCGTCGCAGCGCCACGTCCTCCCGCTGCGCGAGCTGGCCCTCCGCCGAATTACCAGAACGTGCGGTGCCTTTGCGGCCGACGCCTCGGTCGCGGACCTGCTCGACGTGGCGACATCGATGGCGGAGGGGTGGCCGCGCGACGGCCTGCGGCTCGCGCTCCCGCGGATGCCTCACCGGCTGCTCCTCGCGTGCCGCGCTTGTGGTGACTCGCCGCAGGCGCACGCGCTCAAGCTTCTCGCGAATGAGGCCGTCACCGATGCCGCCATTCGGAGGGAGGAGCACGAGTACCGCGAGAAGCGCGCGTCCGCACCGCCCGACGACGCGACACTCGCCGCAACCGCGGCGGGAGCCTTCCCGCTGATCGATGTCTTCAGCGAATGGCACCGGATCATCTGCTCGTCAGAGGCGCCGTCGCTGCCTCCCGAGCAGATCCTCTTCGCCGCCGAGCCGACGCCGCTCGGGTCGGCGGTGCTCGAGCCGTCCCTCCCCCACTTCCTCGACAACTTCGACACCTTCAGCTGCGGCTTGCTGCGCGGGCTTCGGTGGGATGGCCTGGTCGCGGCCGGCGGCGCTGTGCTTGCCTGCGTGCAACGCACAGGCTGCGAGGCGTGGGGCGCGCCGGGCAGCGAGGAGGTGGAGGACATGCGCCGCGTCTACTTCCAGCCCGACTCGGGAACCGCAGCGTCCAAGGAACGCTACAGCCGGAGGCCGGCGCCGCCCCAATCGGCCGCAGACGCAGATTCGCCGCACTCGCCCTTTGCCACCTCAAGCGACGTCGACCTGTTCCTCGTGGGGGTCGCCGCGGAGGAGGCGCTGCAGAAGCTGCAGGAGGTGGCTCGGGTGGTGAAGCGCAACTTCTCCGGCGGAAAGGTCCTCTGCATCCGCAGCGAGACGGCCATCACCTTCGCCGCCGGATTCCCCTTGCGCAACATCCAGGTCGTCCTCAAGCGCTTCGCGTCTCCGACGGACGTGCTCGCCTCCTTCGACGTGGACTGCTGTGGCTTCGCCTTCGACGGCGATCGCGTCCTCGCCACCGCGCGCGCCGTCCGCTCCGTCGCGTCCAAGGTGAACCACGTCGACTTGGCACGGCGGTCGCAGACGTACGAAACGAGACTGCTCAAGTACGCCCGGCGGGGCTTCGGCATCGGGCTGGACGCATCGCTGTACCGCCCGTCGCACGTCGACAAGGCGCGCCTGGAGCTCGAGGCGCTGGCTCGGGCGGCGGCGCGGCTCACGCAGAGCCACTGGGGCGCCAATGGCCGCGCAGAGGTGTCTGATGGGTCGTCCAAGGCGCAGAGGTGGGGCCTCGCGCGGCTGCTCTCGGCAGAGCTGCGCTTGCTGCGCGTTGAGAGGGCGCACCGCTCCCAGACGTACCACGACGGAAGCTTGAGCGTGACCGGCCCGCCGCTGCACCTGCAGTCGCTGCTCGAGGCGTGCAACCGCACGCGCTCGCACGGGGAGCTGCCCGATGAGTCGAGCTTCCACCATGCCTTTGGGAGCAACGGCACCACGGGCGACGACTGGTTCAATTTCCGCGAGGCCAAGCTGGCGGCGGATGCCGAGCCTCGACCGGCGGCCGGAATGCGCCCCGCGCTCTACACGCAGGGCTGCGTCCCGTGGCGGCATGGCTTCGACGCGCCCCGGATCGAGGCGTACCTCGAAAAGGCGCGCCTGCAGGGCCTGAACCAGGCAGACTTCTTCGACGACCCGGCCATCAAGGGGACCCTCTGCGTCGTGCGCTCGAGCACGCTGCCCTCTGAAGCCGCGCGGAGCTGGGGCTACGCCGCCGGCAAACTGGTGAGCGTCAGCTCGTTCTCTCAGGCGGCGACCTGCATCTCCTTCTTCCCGCGCTCACCCGAGGGCTTCTGCGACGGCGCCCACACGGCGCTTGCAGAGGCGCCGCCAGTCCACTTCTCGCTCCTCTACACGCCGCCGCCAGCCGCTGCCAACGTTCTCGACATCAGCCGCGTCCGGCGGTGGCGCTACAACGTCCCGCCCAAGAAGCAGCTCGAGGAGCTTCGCGCGCACTGTGTCGGCCGCATCTGCCTGCTCGGCCGCCGCGAGACCTCGCACACCGTCGACGACGTCCTTCGCGACGGCCGAGTCGACGGCTCGCGGCTCGCCGAGGTTCTCAACGTCGAGGTCAAGCCAGCCCCCGACCCAAACCCTCGACACGCTCGGCCATCTCTGACCTACACGCTTCGCCTCCTGTCGGGCGAGACTTGCGGTGGCGACGAGGAGAAGATCGTCGCCGACGCCTCTCGCCTGCACGACACGTACATCTTGCTGCACGCCATTAACTTTCTCGCGGACGCCGAAATCGTGCCACGCCAATTGGTGTCAAGCAAGCTCCGCCTCGGCGTGGCCAAGGAAGCTGGTTGGTACTGGATGCATGATTTCGGAGGCCCGCCTGCACCGTACCTGCAGCGCGGTGTCTACCTACGTTCCTCCATGACATCTGCCGAGAAGGCTCGCGCCGAGGCGGCGGTGGCGCTGCTCGAGGCCGACACGTTCCTGGCTGCCGTCGGGATCAACGCGTCGTCGCTGCTCACGATCAAGGAGGTGGCCGGCGCAGAGGTGCCGGAGGGCGGCGGCGGGCGCGCCGTCCTCGGCTTCGGCGTCGGCGACGAGGCCGTCATCACCGACCTCGTCAAGGCGCCCGGCTGGAACGGGCTGCGCTGCACTGTCGTGGGTCCATTCTCGGGCGGCCGCTACCCCGTCTGTCTGCGCCACGCCGGCGTCGTCAAGAATATGCGCGTCCGCCTCGAGAACCTCGTCCGTGCGGACGGAGGCCTCCGGTGAGTCTGGGTCTGAGTACTGTTGAGTGCGAGTGACGCGACTTTCGCTTCCCACCTGCTTCTCCCGGTACTGCGGAAGTGGGGGCGCTGTCTGTCACGGTCCGAGTGTCACGGTTTTCGGCTACGACCTACGTACGTGTCTCGTTTCTTGTCCAAAAGAGAAAGTGTTCAAGATCGCGCTGTCTCCGCTGTCTCGGTGTCTGTACGCACGTACACGCGGTACGGAACCGCTCGGAAGCCTTTACTAAAAAGCCGTACATCTGGACACACAAGACACAAGTCGACATACGACAACTCAACAGTACTTAACTAGAGTACAGTACTACTAGACACACATACACACATGCGCCTGTCACTCTACTACTTAACACACATGCGGGCGCCCCTGTAACCGCCGCTCCCACACCACCGGGCCCCTAAGCGCTAAAGCTTGAATGGTTCTTCTTCCACCTGTGAGCAATGTGCGGCAGCGTGGGCGATACCGGGTCGGATGGCAGCGAGAGATACCCAGTAGCCAGTAGCTTGCTCCGCGTCGCGTCCAGCAGGGACCACATCTGGGCAATGCCCGCGGTGGTGGGGTTGGCGGAGAAGGCCTGCACCTCCTTGGCCAGCCGGCAGGCGCCGGCGGTCTTCGCCACCCCCTTGAGGCTGTGGCAGACCTGGTCGGTGCTCTCGCTCTGCTGGAAGCGCTTCTCCAGCTGCGCCAACTTGGCGTAGACGGACGAGGCCGACAGGAACCTCGGTCGCTTCCCCGCCGAGCTGTGGGAGGAGGGCTCGGTCGCGTTGTTGTAGGCCACGTCCATCAGGCTGCGGATGGACGAGTGCGGCAGCCCTTCCAAGTGGGTGAGGCTGACCAGCTTCTCGGCGAACGGCGCACGCTTCTCCTGCGTAGCGTGAGCGCTCGTCACCAGCTGCTTGACCTCGTGCGCCTTGAGCAGCGCCGCCGCGAGCGCAGAGGCGTGGAACGGCTTGGGAGAGACCAGGTCCACGCCCGGCACCGCCATCAGGCGCTTAAGCTGCTCGCGGTCGCAGCTGCTCGCAAGGCACGCCACTCCAACGTACCCCTGCTCTCGGAGCCGCGCCAAGACGTACGAGCCAGAAAGGTGCACCTCGCCGTCCAAGGCGAGGTTCTCGTCGATGAGGACCACATCCGCCTGCCTGTGCGGCGGCGGCAAGTCGTGCAGCGACGCGTCGACGAGGCCGAGCGCAAAGCTGATGAAACCGACCTGCTCCTCCTTTGTCCCGCCGATCGCCTTGCTGCGCTGCGCGTCAGCGCCCAGCGCCGGAAGCAGCGTGGCCTCGAAGATCTTGCGCGAGAAGGCGGAGTCGTCGACGACGGCAACGAAGAGCCCCTCCTCCGCGGGCTTCAGACGGCTTGTCCGTGGCGGACTCGTACCGCGCAAGGCGGAGGCGCCGGCCGCGAGGAGACCCTCCGGCGCGCTCAGCTCCGACAGGGTCGTACCGCGCAAGGCGGAGGCGCTGGCCGCGAGGAGACCCTCCGGCGCGCTCAGCGCCGACAGGGTCTCCGCGTGGAGCGTCCTCAGCGCGTCGAGCTGCAGCGGCCCGAATTCGGTATGGCGCGACTCGAAGTCGACGACGAGCCGTGCCATGCGCGTGGCGCCGATCTGCTCGCAGCAGCCGACGAGCGATCGCAGCAGCAGCTCGCACTGCTCGCCGCACGAGACCAGCGCCTTATGTAGCTTCTCGAGGGTCGACTCGCACTCGACGCAGGCCGCGTTGAGCGCGTCGCCCAGCGCGCGCGCAATCTCCCAGTTGACGAGCGGCAGCGCATCCGTGTTGTCGCGCTGCGGCCTCTGCAGCGGCTGCGACGGCGGCAGCACCGAGGAGTGCTTGGAAGGAGTGGCCGAGGGCGGAGACTTGTCGGGCGGCCCGCCGACCAGGGGCGCCAGCCGATCGGCCAGCTGCTTTGCATGCGAGCACTGCGCCGCGGTCGACTCGAGCGGCTCGCCGCCGCACCGCGCGTCCATCGCCTCAAACGTCTCCGCGAGCAGCTCCTCGAGCCCGACCAGCTTGCCGTAGTCGAACGCGGACTTGCACTTGCCGACGGCGAGCTGGATGCGCCGCGCACCCACGGCGCGGCACTGGCCGAGCAAGTGGTGCAGCTCGTCGGGCAGCGCGCCCACGTCCCGCGCGTCAAGCAGCGCGAGCAGATCGTCGAGCGTCCGCCGCACGCCGCGCCGAAACTCGGAGAGGATGGCGGCGCGCTCCTCCGCGTCGGAGACCGAGCCCCAGATGCCCTCGTGTTCGCCGACCAGCAGGCCCGCCTCCTGCTCCGAGTCGGACGCGAACTCCTTCGGCAGCGCGCCGCCCGCCTCGACGATCAGCTGCACGAGCCTCTCCCGCGGCTCGTCCTTCTGCATGACGGCGCTCGCGCCCGCGCTGAGGTACTCGTTGATCACCTTCTGAGAGACGTTGGCCGAGCGGATGACGATCGACCCCTTGTAGCCGCCGGCGCGCAGCGCGGTCGCAATCTCGGTGCCGGTCGTGGCGTTCTCGCGTCGCATCACCTGGCTGCGCAAGTTCTGGTCGAGCACCACGCAGCTCGGCCGCGGCCGCGCCGCGAGCACGTGCCCCGCGAAGCCGCGCATCGCCTCGTCCGTCTCCGCCGCCGGCAAGTCCGGCGGCGGGAAGACCTTCGAGTCGGGGTGGAGCGGAGATGGCGATCGCACCCAGCTGCCGTACACCATCCGCATCGTCGGCTCGTCGTCGATGAAGTAGACGAGCAGCGGCTGGGTCGCCTGTTCACGGCACGGCGGCGTGAAGAGAGCGCCCCTCTCAGAGCGGCGCCCTCTCTTGGCCATAAATGGTTGCAGAGTGGGCCTCGATGTCGACCGTCCGCGGCGCACGCACTTCGAGGTGTAGCCGAGAGGCCGCCGGCAGCAGCTGCAGCGAGACAGAGCCGCGGAGCAGCCGCGCCACGTCGCGCATCGCCTGGCCGCCGAGGTTGGTGCTGTGCGCGCCGCCCGTGTTACCGCGGTGGTGCAGCAGCCGCGTCGCGTTGGTGCCATGCCGCGCGATCAGCTGCGCCTGCTTTTGCGGGTCGGCCGCGTTGGAGACCTGCATGACGAGGGTGGGCTCGTGGTACTCGATGGCGAGCTCGATCTCCATGTCGGTGCCGTACTTGCGCGCGTTGGAGACGGCATTCTCGAGCGCGTACCGCAGCAGGTGCCAGTCGAGCTGCACCTCGGGCACCTGCGCGCGATTGTGCCGGGGGGTGTCCGCGGCTGGGGCGGGCGAGGGGAGGTGGAGGGGGGGGGCATCGAGGGAGCCCTAGGAAGGGGGGGGGGGGGGGGACACGCCTCAAAGGCGCGCACGCACACGCCCGCGTCGGCGCCAAACTCAGCTACCACGCTCGCGACGACGTCGACCGGCAAGGAGAGCGGCACGTACTCCTGCGCGGCCATCTGGAAGATCATGATGCGCAAGTGCGCGTCCTCCTGCGCGCGCTTCGAGCGGGTCTGCATCGTGGCCAGCGTGGCCTTGGCCTGCCGTATCGCCTCGAACGAGTGCTCGCGCACCGCCTCAAGGTCGAGCCACACCTACGGTACGGGACGTGTCCTGGACGTGTCCTGGAGACGGTGCCGCGCCGCCTCGAGGTGGTGGTGAGCCACAACACCTTCTTGAGCTCGGGGCTCTGGAACTGGGCGGCCGCGTCGCGGTGCGCGGCCAGCTGGGGGAAAGGGGGGGGGGGAGTGAGGAGTGAGGGAGGTGAACAGAAACGGCGCAGCAGGCGGCGCGCAGTGAGGCAGTGAGGCAGTGAGGCAGTGAGGCAGTGAGGCAGTGAGGGAGCGCAGTGAGGGAGGTGAAAGGAGGCGGCGCAGCAGGCGGCGCAGCAGGCGGCCCGGCGCGCCTGCTTCTCGATGATGCCGAGCTGCTCGAGCGTGTACGAGGCGCTCACTTCGTGCGACTTGTGCAAGTTCTTGTCCTCGTGCTGCAGCTTGGCCGCAACCTGCCGGTCCTTCTCCGCCTACGACCGCGATGTGGTTGCACCGTCTCACGCGGCAGCGACAAGAGGGCCAGGCGGCCGTCCAGCGCGGCGCCTCGATGCGGAACTTGAAGTCGGTGAGGTCGTGGCACACCTGCGGGAGATATGGGGAGAGATGGGGAGAGATGGGGAGAGATGGGGAGAGATGGGGAGAGATGGGGAGAGATGGGGAGAGATGGGGAGAGATGGGGAGAGATGGGGAGATATGGGGAGATATGGGGAGAGATGGGGAGATATGGGGAGATATGGGGAGATATGTGGTCGTGGCTCACCACGAGCACGCTCGTGAAGCCCTCGACGCCGGAGAGATCGACCGCACGGCAGCGCAGCGTCCGCTCGTTGCTGCTGTGCGTCGGCTTGAAGACGGCCAGGTCGCGTATCGGCTGCATCTCGTGCCGCGCCGCCGCCAGCAGCTCCCGCAGGACCGCCCCGTCATCGACGGTGTCGAGGAAGCGCTTCTCGCCGCCGAGCTGGAAATACTCGCCGAACGACTTGGAGGACTCGTACACGCGCCTGCAGGACGACGAGGTAAACGGGCGTGGCGCACGATGATGGAGGAGGGACTTGTGTGTAGTGTGCGTGTGTGCAGGTGTATGTGCAGGCGCGGTGTGCAGGTGTGTGTGTTTCGCGCGCCAGTCGGCCGCCTCCCAGCTGGTCGCGCGCACAGCGAAGACGACGTCGTTGAGCAGGTCGAAGGCATGCGCGTACTTGTTGGAGATGGAGTCATTCTCCGACTGCAAAAGACGGTTGGAAGCGGCCGACTCGGTCTGCCGCTTCTCCGAGTCCCCAAGCCTCGTTTCGGCGTCCGCGTCATACACCGCGCCATACCAGATGGTGTGCCCGTTGGGAAGCCGCTTTGGCATTGAGCTGGCCTTGAGCCACTTGTAGTTATTCGGGTAGCCGGGGAAGCGAGAGCGCCACGTGAAGTTCCACTCGGATAGCTGCTTCCAAGACTCCTCCACGGAAGAAAAGTAGCTACGCTGGTCATCGTCGTGGATCCTTCCGACGAGCTCCATAGCGTCACTCATCACCTCCTCAGCAGACACGCCGTAAACGGCCTGCGCTCCCGGCGAGGCGTAAGGAAAGCGAGCGTTCTCGTTATTTTCGTCCACGGTGAAGGAGAAGATCATGGCCTGGTCTTGCACCCGGCCAAGCATCTCGAGAATCTCGCTCGGGAGCCCGTGCGAGGCGGAGCTCGGCGGCGGCATGGCCGTCCACGAAATGGTCAAAGAGAGTCGCCGCCCGAGGTCATTTGCCGAGGGATTTGACACGCGCTCACATTTTTTTTGTTTTCATCGCCGCCAACTTTACCTCGCTGTTTCTTTATACCTCACACCTGCGTATTCCTGTATTATCTTCGAGTAAGGTATTGCGTGGGGACGGTGTGTATTCTCTTATCACTAGCTCCGAGTAGAGGGGGCGTTCCGCAGCTAGGGGCAACCCAAAGCGCAGAACCAACCCTCGGAGAGTATTCTCGTATTACTAGCTCCGAGTAGAGGGTGTGCGGTCTGCTGCTAGGGACCCGGAGCGCGGAGCTATCCCTCGGAGACCCGTGTTATGGCCCTGCGACCGCGCACCCCCCAGGCCAAGGCTAGGGCTCTCTAGCCCATAACCCGATGCCGATCATCCGGCCCGCTGGGTGCGCTTCTTAGCTCCCCGGCCCTGCATGTGAGGTTGATGACTGCACTCCAAGTGCTCCAAGTTTGGTAGCGAGGATTGGTGTGACGCACTCAAGCACCACGCGCGCTCCGGCGCGTGGGTCGAGATCAAGCCCGGCAGCCCCAGCCAGGCCCCGCGCGCTGGCCGCGACCGCGGCTCTCCCTCGAGCCCAATCTGCCCATCAGACGTGCCGGAACCGTCCGACTATATATAGCGACTAGCACACCTCAAGAGTCCCAAGAAACCCCAGGAGTCGCACCGTCCCTGTGGGCGCGGGCAGCGGAGGGGGGGAAGGGCGGCGGCAGCGGGCGGCAGTCCCGCGAGGCACGCCGGCGGAAGGGTTCGTCTTCGCGGGGCGGGGTGCGCACTGCGCGCCGCGAGGATGAGGAGCCTGAGCCAGGGGAGGGTTGGGAAGGGGGGGCGAGGCCGGAGGAGTATGACGGCCTCTTCGACGGCCCATAAGGGGCCGTTGTCTGCTGTGCCTTTTGTGGTGCTAGTTCGTGCCAGTCTGCTGTGAGAGGGGCTTCTATTCGTAGAATTCTTTTGTGTTCAGTGACTGTGTGGTGCACCCCCTTCGTTGTACTGTACCCCTTTCGTTGTACCCCCAGCCAGCTCCACACGTGTCCGAGACCGCCAGCACACGCGTCGAAGCCGAGGCCTGCCGAGATCCATGTCTGCGGCACTTCTCCTCTACCTCGCCGCCTCCGGGCGTCCCGAGATCGAGCACAACCCCGAATACCTCGTGGCGCAGAAGCTGACGCTCACGGGCACGGTGCATCGCCACTCCGATTCGCTCAAGGTCCACCGGCGGGCTCTCGCCGAGGAGACGAACACTCGATACCCTCCGGCTCACCTTGGACACCTCGACGCTCGCCGGCTGTCGGAGGCGGCCGACCCGTCGCCATCCCTCCCTCCGTCGCCCCCGACGCTACCGCCGTCGCCCCCGACGCTACCGCCGCCGCCGACGGCGCCCCCGTCGCAACCGCCGCCGCCGCCGTCGCCCCCGACGCTACCGCCGCCGCCGACGGCGCCCCCGTCGCAACCGCCGCCGGAGGCGCCGCCCCCGGAGCCGCCCCTTCCTGGGCAGATCGACTGCCCCAAGCCGCCCCCATCGGCACCGCCTCCCGCTCCTGCTTACTGCGCTCAGTACTCGAGCGACTACGCCGGCGGCGCGGTCCCCACGTACAAATCGTCCGACACGAAGTGGGGCCAGCTGCTCCCGGGGCCCAACAACACGTACGTCGAGGACGGCCTCGCCAAGGTGATCGAGATCTACTCGGGCTGCCCGTTTAAGGTAGAGGTGCCGGCCGACAAGTTTGTGTGGCTGAAGATGAAGCGGACCGAGGCCAAGTCGCGCTGGGAGCTCAAGTCGGAGGCGCTCGACGAGCTGGGCGACACGCAGAAGCGCCACGTCGTCTGGTACGACTTCCACGCCATCCCGATGTACGAGTCGGGCCAGAGCATCAACCACCCGTACTACTTCATGACGGGCGTCAACTACGAGAAAGTGCTGGGGCGTGACGACCTCACGTACGAGGACAGGTACCACCGGACGGCGACGGGCGCCTACTGCGGCGAGGCCTCCAAGGAGGGCTTCTACCAGCCGTGCCTCGGCGGCGGCGACGAGCACCTGGACACGTACCTGTACATTGCGATCCACGGCTACTTCAACACAGGGACCGAGACGACGTCGGGCTTCTACACGATGACCTGGCTGCCGTACCTGCAGGTCACCATCCCGACGGCGCAGTTGCAGTTCCTGCAGGACCTCTACTACAACACGTGTTATCCCACGCAGAAGGACACGCCCATCTTCGACCTGACCGCGCCCGACATGATCAACCAGCACTGGAACCGCGAGGACTACATGGACGGCCACTACAACACGGGCAAGAACGCGTTCCAGAGCTACCTCTACCGCGACGTCTACTCGACCAACGGCACCGAGATCGACTCGGACACCGTGCCCTACTGCGACTGGATGTTCGCCAAGGGCATCGACACCGACACCGGCACCTGGTCGGACCCGATCGCCGGCAAGACGGCGTGCGACGACTTCGAGTTCGTGAACTGTGACCTGCAGGGCAACATCCTCGAGCTGCTGCTGGCGAGCCACGCGTTCAAGGGCGAGATCCCCGCGTCGATCGGCAACCTGCCGTACCTCAAGACGCTCTCCCTCTCGCGCAACCAGCTCACCGGCACCGTGCCCTCCTCCATCTTTGCCTCCGAGAGCCTGGAGGAGGTCTACCTGACGCACAACTTCTTCACGGGCGAGCTGCCGTGCGCGACGCACACCGAGCCCAAGCTGAAGAAGGCGTCGTACTCGCAGAACTACTTTACCGGCTCGCTCAAGTCGTGCCTCTTCTCGGAGGCGCCGAGGCTGCAGGAGCTGTACCTCGACTTCATCAACCTCGACTCGCCGATCCCTGCAGAGATCAAGGAGGCGACGCAGCTCTCCCACTTCTCGGCCGTCCACTCTGGCCTGACGGGCGACCTGCCGATGGACATGATGTGCTCGTCCAAGCTCTTCACGCTCGACCTGTCGCGCAACAAGCTCACGGGCACGCTGAAGAAGGTGGTCATCAACGGGTGGAACGGCATCTACCGCCTGACGCTCGACTCGAACGAGTTTGCGGGCGAGCTGCCCACGTTCGACTGGCACACGGCCAACCTGCGCTACCTCTCGCTGCGCAACAACAAGTTCAGCGGCAACTTCGAGGTGTCGCTCCTCGGCTTCCAGAACGAGCAGGTGGCCACCTCGGGCTCCCGCCTCAGACTCGACGGCAACGCCTTCAGCGGCGAGCTGCCCTCGTTCATCTACCGCCTCCTCACCGACGCGCACGGCGTCGGCTCCTTCTCGGCGACGCGCAACCACATGCTGTGCGACCCGGCGACGGGCGAGTGGCCCAGGTGGGTCTTCCGCTTCGACACCGCCGCCTTCGGCCAGTGCACACCGCTCGCGAAACCCACGTCGGCCTCCAACCTGATCCCCGGCCAGTACTTCACCGTGACGGGCTCCGACTTCATCGCGTCCAACGAGCTCAAGTGCCGCGTCGACTCCACCGTGTTCCCCGCGTCGTACGTCAGCCCGACGCAGGTGCTGTGCGGCCCGATCGGCTACGGCTTCTCTCCGGGCAACTCGTACACCGTCTCCGTCGCCAACTACGGCACCGACTTCTACTCGGCCGAGCTGGCCAAGTCGACCTACCAAGCGGTCTCGGCCACGCTCCCGCTGAGCCCGAACATGCCGCCGCCGTCGGCCCCGCCGGCCCCCGAGGAGGAGGACGGGCTCGGGGCCGGCGCCATTGCAGGCATTGCGGTGGGAGCTACAGTGGCGGTCTGCGCGATCGCCGCCCTCTGCGTTGTTATCAAGAAGGAGCGCTCGGGGTCGCCTCTCTTTGTGCCGGTCGTGGCCGACACAGCCAATTCCGGCAAAGCGGATGGCGCCCCAGCTGGCGGCGGCACAGACCTTCCGTCGCTTTGACTTGTATCCTCATTGTAGGAGTGAGCAGCTGCGCCGCCTCCACCTTGCGGGAGGGCACAGGGGCGTCTCGCTCTCATTGTACACTCTATAGAACTCATTGAGCGCCAAGCTCCGTCCTTCCTGCTAGCTGCGGCCCGCGATGCGATATTTGTGTGTTGATACGCATGCGCTTTGTAGCCACTGGGGCGTAGCTGAGGGTCAGGGTGCCGGTGGTATAGCAGCCACTGCGCAGCACGCGAGCCACCGTACCCGGATGAGTGCCTTGTCCGCTCGGTCGGCGCGCCCTCCGTCCGTGGCAGGCTGCCGTGTCCGTGCTGTGGGGTGTCTGTGTGAGAGACTGTGCGTCGTTTGAGAAGAGGATAGCTAATAGCTTGGTGCTGCCTTCATTATGTCGGCAAATACTCCAGAGATATGTATGTATTAGTAGGATCGTGAGTTTTGTGGACGGAGAGTGGGCGCGTCCAAGGGGGGGGTAACTCTATGCGATGTCGATCGCCGGCCACACCTCGCGCCAGACGTGGTTCGCCATGTTGTCGAGCATCACCTGCACGGTGCCTGCCCCCCGGCCGGCGCGCACAACATCCTCCTCCCCTCGCGCCGAAGCCTGCTCAGCAGCGAGCCAGCGGCTGGCCTTCGACTCACGAATTCGCGTCAACGCCAGCCACTCGCCGAACCCGATCGTCCACCGAACGGTCGGGTGGAGGCCTCGAGCCGTCCGCATCATCGGCACAACCTGACCCCTCTCCGCCAGCTCGCTCAAGTACTCGCGCAGACGCGGCGCACCTCGCGCAGCGCCCTCGAGTGCTTAGCGCCGTGCGGCAGCAGCATCGGCACGTCTCCGCCCCGGCCAGTTGAGGGCCGCAGGGGCGGAGCTCGCCTCACCGACCGCCTCCTCCCGGCCAGCATACCCGCCGAGTGCTGCGTACGTTACGGGAGGAGATGGGATTTTTGCCCATTTTCGGTCATCCGTCAAAATATCTGAAGATCCCAATATAGGATTCTCCCCAAACCTTGCTCAGCTGATCCAGCCTGGGGGGAAGGCCAGCCCTGGGCAAAGAAACCAGTACCTCATCAGGCTTCCCTGAGCGTCACAGCTCGGTGATCGCGCCGACCGGACACCACTGTGACGTCCGTTCCGGGCATTTGAACGCGACCTTCGGGGGCAAAGACATGGGCTCTATGGCTCAGACTGGACTCCTCTTGGTCCCTTCTGATGCCCTAGGCCATACCTGGGCCTTACCTGGGGTTCTAGGGGCCGGGCAGGGTTTGCCCCCCCCCAACTGGCCCGTGTGAGTGAGTATTCTTGATACGAAACCACGACGACACACACCAGTCGACTCGCATCGGTTGCCTCCATGAACGGCGGAGCTATTCTCGCGCCCACACCACACCTGGCTCCAACGTGGACACGCCCATAGCTGGGGACACTACTAGGTCACGCATGGCATCACAGAAGTTTTATCTCTGGGCCCCGAAAGGCATCTCTAGCAGTGTCGTTACACATGCCCCCTCCCCTCCTGGGCGCATGCGCCTCACGTCTCGCCAGAGCATAAGCCCTTGGCGTGTGGCGAGACGAGTTTTTCGCCATCGCCGCGAGCAGCAAGCCGCCCGCCGCAAACAGCCGGAGGCCTCGCCGCGGCACTGGCTGCGCCGCGGTCCCGCACCCGTCGACGCAGCTCCCCCCGCGGAAGACCGCGCGTAGCGACGCCTTGACGATCGAGATGAGCGCGCTCGAGGCTCGCCCACCTACTGCCCCTGAGAGTTGGTTATTGAGTGGGATCAGCTCCCCCCCTTGGGATCGAAGCCGCCACAACCTCACACCCAACATCCCAGGCGGGATCAGAAGGGGACTCCACACCGGACACCGCCCGGGCACAGCCCCCCTACCCGTCGGATCGCACAGAGGGCCCCCTCGGAGCAGCCCACACACAATCACGCATCGGCAGATTGAGTGCCTGAGTCAGGTAGACAGCACAGACAAGAGGAGAGAGAGGAGAGAGAGAGAGAGAGAGGAGAGAGGAGAGGGTGAGGGTGTGAACACACGTGAGGAGTGGGGGAGGGTGTCTGTGGTGGGCTGTAGTCCTACTACGTGGTTACAACCACGCGCCCCTCAGGAGCTTAAGGAAGAGTGTTTGGGTGTCAAAACACCGGGTCGGCGCCAGGCTTAGACAGCCTGTCGCACGACGGGGTGACTGCGAGGCAGTCCGAGCACGAACTAGTCGTCGATCCGCTGACGATCCCCGCCGCTTCACCGTCGGAGCGGCGGCGGGTGAGAGTTAGTCAAAGGTCCACCAGCACAGCCTCCAGCTACCAGCCTCCACCTCCACCGTCGAGCCGCCACCGCTGCCGCCCGCTACGCCGCCCGCCGCGTCAGATAGCCGCGACGCGCGCACCGAGTCGAGTCGGAGGGCCGCGCCGCACCAGCAGGAGCATCTGCACCACCAGCAGCAGCAGCAGCACCACCACCACCACCCGAGAGAGAAGCGCACCTGCCCGACGCCGCCCGCCGCGTCAGACGCTCGCGACGCGCGCGTCGAGCCCAGTCGCAGAGCCGCGCCGCGCCAGCAGCAGCATCTGCACCAGCAGCAGCAGCACCACCACCACCAGCAGCAACAGAGACAGGCAGTGCAGGCGCAGAAGCGCTCGCAGAGCGGCGCGCAGCGCCGCGCACGCCACGCTGCGGACCGTCGGACGAGCGCACCGTACGTCGGCGGCGAGCCGCGTCACCAGCCGTCTCGCGAGAGAGCGGCGCCGCCGCGTGCGCGCAGCAGCCGCCGCGGCAGAGGCGAGCCGCGGCGACGTCCGCACTAACGGATAACGGCCATTGGCGGGGACACACACACACACACACACCAACTGGCCCGAAGAACCTTATATTAAATGAACTCGAAGAACCTTAATGATCGAGTATTAATTATTAATTATTAATCACCGAGATCACGCCTCAAGCGCGGCCGACTTGTCATCCTCCGTGCAGTACCCAGAGGCGATCAGCGCGCTGAGGTAGGCATCGGGCGAATCGTCAAGACAGACGAAGGCGCCATGGAATGGGGGCGAATAAACGCTGCGTGAACCACCCGATTTGCCGGGCTGCCGTAAAAAGTATGGCAGTTGTGCTTCCGCGAACGCGAGCCGTCGAGGTAGCTGGGCAGCTCCGTTGGCTTCTCGAAGGCAGTGTGCTGTGAGAGAGGCTTGTATCCTAAGAATTCTCGAAGGACTCCACTGTTGTCGAACCACGGGCAGCGCTCCCATGGCAGTTGGCGAAGCGTCAGCTCGTGCCCAACCTGGGCGACTTCGGGCTCCGGCGCATCCGGGCTGAGCTCGGGCTCCAGCTCGTGGTGAGCGGCGGCAGCATCGGCGGCGGCACCAGCTGGCACCGGACTCGGCAGCATTTCCGTATCGAGTGAGCCGGGTGAGAAAGGCGATGAGGCGGACGCTGAGCCGGACGAGGAGGCGGGCGACAGCGCCACGGTCGGCTCCTCATCCCGTGGCTCGCCTTCGAGAGGCCGCTTGCGCTTCCCGCTCGACAGCGGCGTGTGGATGCTGGCGTCGCTGCTTGAGGCCGCCAGAGGACGGCGGCGACGCGGCCGTCGACGCGCACGGGCGTGCCGTGGTAGGACGCCCGGCACCTGCGAGAGCTGCGCCATGCTCCCGAGCACGAGGTTCTCGGCGCTCGTGTCGCCGGCCTGGAGGGCGCCCACGGCCTCGCGCATGCGGAAGTGCATGCCCCCCGGCTGCTGGTTGGCGGCCAGCGCGTCGTGGCACGCCAGGAGGCGCGGCATGGCCGCCGGCGGGCAGCTGTACGTGCTGAAGCCCTCGCCCGCGCGCGGGTTGCTCAGGCACTCCACCTGGCCGCTCGCCACCACGTACTGGCAGCCGCTTGTGCGCCGAGGGAAGCGGCTCCAACCGGGGACGCCGCAGCCGACGCTGTCGATGATCGGGCCGCCGCCCGCCGGCTGCTCGCCGACGGTGATGCGCTGGCGCGCCGCGATGATCCGCTGCCCCGTCTGGTCGAGCGCCGTCATCAGGAGGCCGGTGAAGGGCGCGCCGACCGCCGCCGCGATGCGCTCGGCCGCGCCGCCGAGCACCTCCTCGACGGGAAGGATGCCGTCGCCAAGTCGAGGCGAACCGCGAGCAGCTCGCGCGTGCGAAGGCAGGCGGACTGCGCGGCCTCGCGTACGACCCCGAGTGGATCGAAGGAGACGGCGAGGACATCGTCGAACTCTACCTCGAGGCGCTGCGGCCAAGCAGCTCGCCTTCCGCCAGGCCGACTTCATTTGCACGTGCCCTCCGTACTTTGATTTAGAGGTGTATGATGGCGGCGCCAACGACCTCAGCATGCTGCCGTCGTACGACGCATTCCTTGTCAAGTACTCGCGCATCATCAAGGAGGCGGCCAAGCTGCTCCGGCCGACGCAACTCGCCGCGTTCGTCGTCGGCAACGTCCGCGATAAGAACGGCATCACCCACAGCATGCTCGCTGACACGATTTCTGCCTTCAAGAGCGCCGGCTGCAACCCGCTCAACACGGGCTGCTGACTGCCCTCGCCACCGCGCCTCAGCGCGCGGGCCGCCAAATGGCTGCCACCTCCAAGTGGGTGCAAGTCCACCAGGACACGCTGGTGGTGGTGAAGGGCGACCGGTTCACGACGAAGGAGGCGAAGCGCGCCGGCATCGACGCATCGGGGTCGGGGATCGCGGGGCTGTGAGTGTGATACTACAGCCGTGTAGGTGTACGTCTTCGTCTTGCACAAATCACAAACACATCAACAGACAACATCCACGTAAGATCACGTACTCAGTAGTGCGGCCCTCCGTAGCGCGGCCCACCGTAGCGCGGCGGCGCGCCCCGCGGCGGCGGCCCCCACCCGTGCTGGAAGTGCGGCGGCGGCTGTCCGCCGTGGTGCGGCGGGGGGTGCTGCTGATGCTGCGCGGCGTGCAGCGGTAAGGGCGGTAGCGCGTGTGCGAAACCGAACGGCGGCGCATGCGCAAAGCCGAACGGCGCCTGCGGCGGCATCGGCATCGGCGGCTGGTCCCACATGCGTGGAGGAGCGTGGCCGAGCGCCGAAGCATGCGGGTGCTGCTGGACGGCGGCTGGCGGCAGCGGCCCGGCGACGCGGTGGTCGAATGTGCTCGGCCCGCTCGGCTTGAAGCATTCTCGCTCGGCCGCCGTCAGCCACTCGGTCGCGTTGGGCCCTTCGCACGCCGCCATCACGCGTCCCACAGCCTCCGCTACCGCAGCACGCCGCACGGTGGGCGCGATCGGCGCATGAGCCTCCGCCCTATGCTCCTCATAGCGGGCTTGGACGGTGGCAATCTCGATCTGTGTGGGCGTTTTGTCGCTGCATGGTGCGGCTTGCTGCTCCGCCTCCAGGAAGGCGACCGCCTGCTGCGCCGCCGACTGCTCGGTCCCCTTTTTCCCTGCCGTCACGCACCCGACGAAGCTCCTGCCCAGCGGCTGCAGCGTGACGGTCGAGCGGAAGGACTGCTCGCCGACCGCTACGCTCGCGTAGCTGATGGTCAAGCCACGCACCATCGCCGCCTCGTTCAGCGCGCCCTTGTAGTTGATGCCGCTCGGCGCCTCCACCGCCTCAGCCTCCTCGACCACCGTCTCCTGGCTCGCCGCCGTCTCTTGGCTGTAGCCGCCCTCTTGCGAGCAGACCTCTTGCGAGCAGACCTCTTGCGAGCAGACCACCTGCGTCTCCTGCGTCGCCCCCGCCTCCGCCTCGTCTGCGCTGCCCTCCTCCGCCGCCGCCGCCTCCGCCTTAACCTCCTCCTCCTGCTGCTGCTCAGCGACACCATTCGCATCGGGAGCGGAGCTCGCTACTTCGGAGTCTGCTTGCTTCTCCTCGAGCTTGACCTTCTTGTTGCGTCCTGCACGACCCGACGACCCGCGCCGCTTGCGCCGCCCGCCGCCGCCTTCGCCTCCGCCGCCGCCCTCGCCGCCTCCGCCGCCATTCCCCGCGGCCTCGTTCGCCAGCCGCCTCGCCTCCGCTTGCTCCTTCGCCTCGGCCGCCCTCACGGGTTCGAGCTCCCTCAGGCGCCGCCGCTCCGCCGCGCACACCGTGCATCGTTCCTGGGCGAAGAGGTGACCCAGCTCGCCATCGGCGGCAAAGAGGCGGCGCAGCGGCGGCAGAGCGAGGCGCTCGGCCGTCGCGGGCAGCACGAGCAGCGGCACAAGCAGCGCGGGCGTCGCAGGCTCCGGCGAGCGCGGGCAGCGCGCGCGTGCGCCCAGCCGGCCGCGCGCCGCATCGTCGCATAGCAGCTCGGCGAGTTGCGAGACGCTCGGCGAGTGCTGCACGACGAACGAATAGTCCGGACAGCGAGCCTCGGCGTACATCGTGAGCACCCAGAGGAGGCCGCTAAGGTAGTGGCCCACCGTCTCCTCCGATTGCGCGTCGCCCGTTGCTGGCGCCGCCTCCGCCTCCGCGTCTTGCCCGCCGTCGTGAGTAATCTCGCGCAGCAGCAAACCGAGCTCGCGCAGGTCGAGGTGCAGCGCTGCCGTCGGCTCCGACGAAGCGCTCGCTGACGCCGCCGACGGCGACGGAGCAGGCTCGAGGCGGACGAGCGTCGCGGCCGCCACCGTCACGCCGCCGCCACCGCCGGCTGCTGCTGCGGTAGCGGCGCGGCGGCGGCACGAGTAGGCTTCGACAGCCTGCTGCAGCTTGTAGCCTTTGAGTCTAGGCAGGTAGTCATCGCCGCCGAGCAGAGCGAGCAGCACCATATCGAGTGACACGCCCGCTGGCGGCGGTAACGAGGGCTGCGGCGGCAGGCCGGCGGCGCGGCTAATGGCGCCACGGAAGCTCTCGATTGATAGGCTGCGCCTGCCGCCCTCCTTTTGAGGATCGCAGCAGAGCACGCGGTGCGCGGGCGACGCGAGTGCGAGCAGCGCGAGGTCGGCATCGCCGCCCAGCACCAGATGGCTCTCGGCAGCGCTGCCGCTGTTGGTGAGCCGGAGGTGGCGGAAGAGCTTCACCTCGCCCTCGCCGTCGTGGGAGGACGGGTCGACGACGATGCGCGCGCGCAGCCAGCCGCTCGCCCGCGCCCACCGGCGCAGCGTCGCGTCCACGTCGCGCATGAACGTGGTGCCCACCGTCACACACAGCGTCGACAGGCGATTCTGGTGGGTGCTGGCGCTGCGCTCCTCCTTGATGCTGTGCTTGACGCGGCGCTCACGCTGCTCCTTGAGCTTGGCGAGCGGCGCCGGTCCGTCGACGGCGAGAGTGAGAGAAATGCGCGGCGTCCGCAAGCGTGCCATTTCGTTGAGTTGCCTTTCGAGGTCTGCGAGCGCCGCCGCCTCGGTGGCGTTGTGCCGCACTACGCCGTGCAGCATGCTGTTGATGTCGACGTAGATGTGGTCGGCGCTGCGTGGCGTAGCGACGAAGCAGTTCTCGTGGTGGCGCTTGAGCCACTCGGAGAGGCCGGGAACGCCCATAGCAGCTAGATCACTGCAGCGCCAGCAGCGGCACGTCGGCAGGTCGCCGCAGCGCGAAGCGTTGTCGTGAGCACCTATAGCGTGAGCCCTTGGCACAGTCCTCGCCGGGCCGTGAGGTGGGTGGGGTGGGTGCGTGGTTCCAAGCCTCAGCCGGGCCGTGAGGTGGGTTGGTGGGTGGGTGGCTCAAGAAGCTCGTATTAGGTATATTGTTGGCAAATCAAGAGATAAAGCTCACACAGAATCACAGCGGGATGCACGTGAACGGAGGTCCCGAGGCACGTGGTGAAAAAAAGAAAACTTTGCGCGGCCTCGCTCGACTATAGGTCAACGGTGACACAGTCGATCGTCGGGATGGCACCACTCACGCCCTCCTCCGCTCTCCTCTTCGGCGCTGCATTGGGCAGCACGGCAGGTGAATGTCCTGGAAAGTCCTCGTCGGCGCCGCGCCGCCCGCGGATCTTGGTAGTGGGCGCCGGGCCGACAGGGATCGAGGCTGCTGTCTCATGCAGCCTTGCCGGTCTCGGAGTCCTCTGCGAAAAGGGCGACATCATCGGGCACGCGGTCCGGGACTGGGGCCACGTGCGCCTATTCTCCTCCAACAGCCTAAACTGCTCGCCAGCTGGCCTCCGCGCGCTCGCCGACCTCCGCCTCGCTCCTCCCGACCCCGCGACCTATCCGACGGGCGATGAGCTCTGCGAAACATACCTCGAGCCGCTCGCAAAGTGGCTGGCGCAGCGCGAAGACTGTGAGATCCTCCTCGGCGCGAGAGTCGAGTCCATCACGCGCGGCGGCCTCCTCAAGGGCGAGGCGATTAAGGCGGCGTCTCCACCCCGGCCTCTCCAACCCCTCTCCAACCCAGACCCCACCGCTGGCCCCTGGCCCTTAAGGCGGCCGGCTCCGAGGCGCGAGCCGCCACCGCCTTCTCGGCGCTACTCGACGTCCACGGCGAAGAGACGCTGATCGAAGGCGACATGTCCAGGACACGTCCTGCGACGCCTGACATGTCCATGTCACACAGGCGAAGAGACGCTGGTCGAGGGCCTCGCCGGAGTCATCGACGCGTCGGGCACGTACGGCCGCGGCAACTTTCTCGGCCGGGGCGGCGCGCCTGCGCTCGGCGAGCGAAAGTTGCGCGCAGCGGCCGCCGCCGGGGCCGCCTCTGCCGCCGCCGCCTCCGCCGCTCCGCCCGCCGACTCGCCGCCGCGCGACTTCTTCTTTGACCGGCTGCCCGACGTGCTTGCGCGAGACCGCGCCTCCTTCCTGCCTGCCTCGGCTCCGGCGGGCGTGTCTGTGGTGCTGGTCGGCGGCGGCTACTCGGCGGCAACCACGCTGCGGGCGCTGGTCCTCCCTCGCTGACGGCGGCGGCGACACGTCCGAGACACGTCTCGGCGACGCTTGGGCGACGGCTGCCATAGGTCGACCTCGCAAAGGATGGCGACTTCCCCCTCCGCGTCGTCTGGCTCCTGCGCAAGCCCTCCTCCGCCGGGCACCCTCCATCCTCCACCCTCCTCCCTCCAGCCTCCAGCCTCTCACCCTCCCACCCTCCGCCCTCCTCCCTCCAGCCTCCAGCCTCTCACCCTCCCACCCTCCACCCTCCTCCCTCCACCCTCCACCCTCAGCGCTCCTCCCTCATCCCTGCACCCTCCACCCTCCTCCCTCCACCGGCCACCCTCAGCGCGACACCGTCGACTATCAGCGCTGAAGCCTCCGGGATCA